AATAGCTTTCTAATGTCAAGACATTTTTTTTGTATTTTGCATAAAATACTTTTTTGCTCTACCCTCGCTCTTAACTAACCGTACCGGGCATGAAGTTCAAAAAATCAGCAATTTCAATTAGTTTGAAAATAAGTCCAATTCTTATTTTTCCAATTCATGGACCTTTTTTACGGTTTGTTGATTTTTAAAATAAAATTGGAGCTTTCAGCACCGAGCGCCCATGAATCATAATCGATTGTTTTGTCATAATATGGGCAGTATCTATAAATTTACATAAAAATTGATTACAATCAATTAAAGATGGATTATAATCAGGGGCGGATTTAGGGGGGGGGGCTATTGCGGACGCCTTTTTTCTCAGGAAATCAACCCCCTGCCGACCCAAAGGGCCCCCCTTTGGTACTTTTTAAGAAATCATTTTTTGGCCGACCGACCCTAAAATTTTTCGAAGGCGCCTTCGGCCCCAATATATACTAAAAAACGTTTTTTTTGGACTGTTTTTTTTCTTCAATTTTTGCCTACGGCGCAGAAAATTTGGCGAAAACAGGTACTAAACCGTGCTCAGGGAGAGCTGGAAAAATCAATTCGGTCGACCTAAAAAAAAGGTCGACAAGATTTTCGAAGTATTTTGAAAATCCGCCCCCTCGAGAACATACTAGATCCGCCCCTGATTATAATCCTTTTTATGTCCATGTAATACATTTTAATTTATTATGATCCATTAAATATGGATTATAATCCTAGAAATTTTTATGGCAATATAATCAATTGTAATCGAAGATAATGGATTTTTTTTAGAGGTTAATCAGGAAACTTACAAATTGTTCCAAAGTTGTCTCATTTCCTGTTTAGTGCAGTTGCTACGTATTACGTCTCTTACAAAGTTACTTTTCATATTATAATGTCTATTCTTTGTCTCACTTTTTGAATTCATCTCAGTTTAATACTTAATTTTGCAGAGGGAGGGGGGAGGGGTAAGGATTGAACGGTGTTAATGCGGGGATTATTTGAAACACCCCTTCCCTCATCCCCCCAGTTTAACCCTCCCCCGAGTTTAATTAAGGCCCTCACTCCCCCAGTTTTCTTCACCCCCGTTTACTTTACCTCCCCCCGTTTATTTTGCCCCCCCCCCCTCCGTTCACTCCCCCCTCCATGTCAGTTTACTACAACCGCCATTTCCCCCCTTATGGTTGAACATGGGGGTATTAATTATTGGTAGACTTTGGGGGGTATCTTACCCCCTCTTTAGTTGGGGGAGGTTAAGTAAAATTGAGAGGGTGACGCTGAGACATGGCATTTAGTTATAGACATGGCTTTCATTTTGCATTTTCCACGTCCTAAAATTAATCGAGTAAAAACCCACAACATTTTAAAAAATCTAATCCCCCATAAGGATTTCAGAAATAAGTGAAGTTCAGAAAGTCATAGGGAAGTTCCGAAAAAAAGGTGCGGAATGAAAGAATTACAGTCAGTCACATTAGACAAAGTATTGCTGATATCTATCTCGATATTCACATCAGAGTAACTCACGAGAGGTAGTGTCTTATTGAAGTGTGGTAATCACCATCTACAGGAAGTATCACAAGTTTTCGTCTCAACGTCTCACTTCCATGGTCCTTGATCATTGTTCGTAAAAATTCCAGGAACTGTTTTTTTGTTTTTCTGACAACAAAAAAAATCACATGAACTTCGTTATGTTCAGCTAGCAGTCGACATTTAGCCAACAAAAGCGATGTTTTCCCACTTCCAGGCTCCCCACTAATTAACAGACGGGTCAGTTTGTCGTTTGCTAGAATACGGTGCTGTTCTGGGCTCAGGATGAAATCATTGCCATTGTAAGTCAAGTTGTCTTGTTTAGACTTCCAAATACTGAAACTTTTCTGGTATCTTTTGTCAACATCGCGGTCCTCCTTCTCATCCGGCCAAAATTTCATGAAATTCAGACTGGACAAAACTATCAGAGCTGATATGTCTCGAAATAACTGAGATTCATTCTCTGTTTTTGAACTACCGAAATCAGAAATTCTTTCGGGTGATAATTCTGAAAATAAGTGAGAATAAACGTCTGAGGTGGAAGAATCAGTACCTGTTTGTGATATAAGATAAGGGTTGAGGTTTTTGTCAATGCTGAAAAAGTAAGAATCAAATTGAGGAGCAAAAAATAAACCTTGAGACCAAAATTTTTCGTTGTATTTCAGTAGCTTTGAAAGTTTCGATTGAGTGTTGTGTAATTCTTCTTTCAAATTTTCGAGTGCTTCCTGAAACTGGGCTGCAGTTATATTTGGTAAAACAACGACAACCTGTAATCTCTTTGTAATAATTTCAATAACGTTATCTTTGTTTTCATCGTCTAATGATTTAGTCAGATTATAAATAATTGATTGTAAATGCGGTATTGTTCTCTCAAGAACTTGAATTAATTTGTTTTTGACGGTTTGATAGAAGGAATAATTTGATTTGGCTTCCGGGTCACTCAGTCCAATTTCAACCGCAACTATTGTGTCTTTGCCAATATAGAGCCAGTCAGTTTCAAATTCGCCCGGGTGCACAGATATTTCATCAAGCAGACTTGCAAAATGTTTGCTGCTGTAGTTTTTAAGCATAATTCCTTTAGCTGAAGGCTGCTTTGAAAGGTAATCGCAAATGAAATTTGTAACTTCACCTATATAGGACCCAGTTTCTGCCAGCCCCTTCAACTTTCCGTCTTCGGTGGTTTTATAGAGAAGATTATCGCAAATAAGGTCAATGTCGGGAACAAAGCATAATTTACTAACTCGATCTTTAAAATAGAAGTCAAAAAGTTCGGAAATTTCTTCTTTGTCGTGAAGAGATATTTCATTACCACCACCGCAAAGAATCTTTTGGGTACGCAGTTTGTACCTAGCAACTTCCTTATTGTAACTATTCATAACTGGAGTACATGGTCTGGAAACGTGCTGATAACGTGGAATAGCAAGTCTTTCCAATACTTTGCCTATTTGGTCCTGATTTTTGTCGTTGACAGTTTCAATTTGGGAGAACCAACCGGTTTTGAGTTGTTTCTCATGGTTTTGTAAACTGTCATGGACGTGTTTTGCCATAGAAGGAGTTTTTCCCCAGATAATTAAAATGAGCTAGAACACAAATCATAAGAACAATTTACTTGTAACCGTTTATAGGCATGATTGTGAGTTTTGCAAACATTTTTCCTATTTTTTGAAACCACAACAAATAAAAGATTTCAAATCAGGATCGAATTTCAGGCAGATGTTTGATCCAAAGCGCTAGTTTTCAAAATTTTGAGCCATTTGCCATCGAGAGCAATTTTCTTCAACATTAATTTGGTTCGTCTATAACCAGAACTTCTGCTTTTGGTTTGAGAAAAACAGATAAGTGTTAATTTCACTGAAGGATTGTTTTTTGCTAGGGCCGACCGAGGGCTGATTTTTGGTCAAAAAGTCTAGAGTTTTTCTAAAGGCTCCTTAAGCGTCAATATGTGCAAATATGAGGGATCGGGCTTCTCGCCAAAATCAAATCTTTGGAATTGCTCGGAAACTCAATTTGACTGAGAAAACGAGAGCAAAACAACCAAACAACGAAAACAAGAGCAAGAATACTGCTTTGCTGTGAAAGTAAATCAGTACAGTGGTGATTTTCCGAATTATATTGTGTGGGTGCCGTGATGGCATGCAATTTTTGATATGCCTATTATGAATGAAATTCAATTTTTAACTTCACAAACTTTTTGGACAATTTATTTGGCTATGTAAGATAATTTTGGTCACTCTCTCTGAAGTGAAGTAGTTTAAAACTCTGTCTCTTTTATCGAAAAAAAACGCTTAAGGCAAAAGGAAACCTGGGAGTTTTGAAAATCTACACCATAAGCTGATAATCGTAAAATTTATACGCTAGAATTTGATCTCAACCAAATTCCAATATTTTAAAAAGCCATCACACAAATATTTGAAAAGAAAAGAAAAAAAGAAAAAAATCTCCATAAAAGTAACTGAAAAGCTAGATATCGGGAGCTGGTTTTGATCTCAGCTTACAAAAAACTTAAAGAAAATCATTCATCACACAGCCATAACTGAAACTGAAACAAAAACATACAAAAACGCCCAGTTTAAATGTTTCCTCTGGTTTCAAAAATGTAAGCTTGTATTTTCATTGTAAGTTTGAGATTTTACTTATCAACTTTGATAAAACTCTAACTAACAATAAACACTTTTGCAAGAATCACTAACTTTTTCATTTTGAAAACAATTTAAAGTGATGTGTACACAAAATTGAAGCAATCTTTTGTCGCACTGACGTTTTTCAAATGAATATAGGTTTTCAGACCAATTTTGTGTCTGTTCATTGCCCAAATTTCTTGAAATTAGCCCAAAAAAACCGCTAGGCGACAATTCCAAGCAATAATTGTTATCAGGTGTCAATTCGTAAGAGTAGATTAAGCGGAGAACTCAGGTTCATGCGCGTTGCTCCGCTCCTTTCGGATATAAGTGCAGCAGAACGAAGCGGAGCAAGCGTAGTCGACTTACCAATGATTTGATACGAGGTGTTGTTTGTTACCATTTGTCGCATTGTTTATTACCAATTGTTCCGAGCTTCGATGTACAAGAGAAAGCTACAAAGTCTGGCTCGTCAAAGAAATTTAAAAAACCAGCCAACTTTCTGTAGATTTGGTGATCCTACCGTAAACTCGACTAATTGCAAAGTTGCCGCAAACAGCATCACTTTATGTTCATAGAGGTTTAGAATTGCACGCTACCATAGTTCAAAAATCATTGGAGTGACCGTTAGCCTTGGGTAAAAAAAATAAGATTAATCAATCGAAGATAAAACTTAGGCATAAAACACTTTCCGTACCCCCAGTGCAAAATGATGCAGAATCCAAAAAATCCAACGCGGATCACAATTACAGCACCATTGGTCGGCTCACATTTATAGCAATTCGGGTCACTAGGAGATGTCAACTTCTCGGAGATCTCGAAAATTTCCCCAAACCCCCATGTTTTAAGATTCGGAATAAAACAATTCCGTACTCCCAAGGCATGATGATCCTGAGTTCGAAAATTCCAACGCTAATCTTTTTTAAAGCACCCATCTGACATGTGGACGAATTCGGCTCAATAGGAGATCTAAACCTCCCTGAGATTTCAAAAACTTCAGCGAACCTCCGTGAGTTAAAATTATGGATGAACTACTTTAAACTCCTGCAGTGACTTGATCCGGTGTTGCTCATCTTTTTCACGGGATCAGTGATAATGGATCTTTAAAAAGGAATAAAGGAAGAAGTACTAATGGGATTTAAATGAAATTGTTGGGTAGGACCCTCATACGATTTTGAACCCTGAGATGGAAGCTGGATCACGGATGACCCTGCGATGACTTTTAAAAAACCTTCAGACAAATGTGACCGAAATTGCCGAAAAGACTCGGGATTAACGTTGGAAAAAGGCACACTACCTGGCCTTGACTTTTCGAAATTGGAATGAGTCAGCAGACTTATGGCTTTGAGGGACCTTAACTTTTGAGAACTGAAGCAGAAGCTGAGAGGGATTTAAATTTTACGTTATAATTTCGGATTAGTGGAAGTAATTCAAGCGGACTTGGCGAAGGTTGGGTTAAATTTAGCTTGCCGAAGGAGCTATTATCGGAAATTCAAATAGACTAAAAAGTAGTCTCAGAGAAAATTTACAGTAATAGCTTGGTATGGGAAATGGCTCTGTCAAAAGCAAGACTGGATGAGATATTTATTCTGCTGACAAGGTGACTTTACGAATAAATTGTTCACTAATGATTAAATAGCGTTGCCCTTTTAGCTGGAAGATTGTGATTTGAAAAGAAGGTTGCTGCGAATTTTAGATGGTTGGAATGAGTAAGTGGCTCATGAGCAAGGTCTTCTCCGTAACGTTGACGGGATAGTTGACTCAAAACCTTGAGCGGTTGGCTAATACCTGGTTCAGAGGGGAAACTGTTCTTGATATTTGCAAAATTTATAAGTTATGTGGAGAAACCTACGGTAAGCTTGGATTTTAGGGCTAGTGTCGTTATTGGTTGATTAGAGTTAGGATTTTACGTAAGGGGGCCAAAGTAAAGGTCAGGAGTTGTAGAGACAACCATAACTCTGATTATAGCTAAAACTCAAATAGAACAAAAATATAGAGATTAACAAATAGCCCACACTTATAGAGATGAGAACAACAAGGTCAAAATATGGTTGGTTCTGGCCAGAATTGAGAAGAGTGGTTCATGAGTTTAGAGAGATCAGTTGAAGTACCTCAAAGGAGTGAAGATCTGTAGAGACATGAATAATTTTAGCATGTCAAACTGGTAGTTGTGAGGAACTACTAAAGTTCACCAAATATTTAGGTTTCTTCAGAGAGGGAAAAGCACTTAGTTGAAATGATTCGAAGTCAAATTGAAATACGGCAATTGTGCTGATAAATCGTGGTTTATTTCCTTTTGATAGAATATTATTTTTCATTCTTAGAATTACAAGAGTTTGATTACAATTGTCTGAACCTCCTTAAAATTGGAACTTTTTAAGAACAGATTGAGCCTAAGAGACAGACTTAAGAGTAGTAAGCCAAATGGAACAAGTGACGTAAAAGAGTACAGAAAAGTTGTTCCAATTTAAGCCTTTAGTAGTGAATATCGGTCACCATGTTGAACTCACTGCCCAGGGAACCATTTTGTCGTATCGTAAACTTGGAGATTGTGAATGGACCTGGAGAAGAAATCCCCCAAAAATATGTGGCGCTCCTGGGTGGGCATTTTCTGGATTGTAGTTACCAAAACGAGCTGTTATTGAAAGATACGATATAGACAGAAGATGAATGACGCAGAGAGTGCAATAAAAGCCGAGACTGAGGTGGCAGCGGCAAATGCTCTTGACATGCAGCAACGGATATTTCGATTCGAAAAGCTCAGACACGACCGGTTTCCCTCCAACAGCTACCAAAATACGGTGGACTGGAGAAACACATCGTTTGGGTTGCGGATGCCAACTTGTGAGAGGTTGAGCAAGCTAAGATGCTTGATGGACTGGGTCCTCGACGTTTTTACGAGCATGCCGGCCCATTTCAGGGAGCAGGTCAACGGTTTTACTAACCCCACTCTTAGAGGGATACTGAGAACACGATCAGCGGATGATACCATTCAAGACTGAGGCAGGTGACAGAGCGATGTTCAAAAACCTGATGCAGAGCAATAAGTAAGAACTGAGAAAAATCTCCCGGCTTGTCAGATCTTTTGGCGATGTTAAAATGCGAACGCGGGCGCGCATGCTAGAGGCGACATGAATCACGAGCAATGCACATGAATCACCTTATCATGTGGAGCTGCAGGAACTCCTCTTACGAGAAGAGTTTGCGAGCTTGATCCAGGCAGTGGCCTGCCCTCAGGCTCTGGAGCTCGTGAATAAGCCATCTCGAGGTAGGAACAGGAAGACGTTGCACCTTGCGAGAGTGACATAGGATGTACCGGTGCACGTGACCGAGGCCAATTGTGGCGGACAAGGGTCGAAAGATCGAACTGCACTAGTGGGCACTGCACGAGTGCCAGTCGACACCCAGTCGGTACTGACCCGAGGATCGACCAAATGGTGAGGATGCAGAGTGATCTGATCTTCTGACACAGATGCAGAAAATGAAGGCAAGGATAGATAGGTTTGTCAATTCTATTATCTCCTTGCCCGGAGAATCTACCCCGACCTGATTAAAATCAATAATCCCGACATTTGTTAGACAGATACCCTAGCAAGACCCGTCGGAGGTACCAGAACAGCGGAGTCGGACACTACGGAGTGAAGAACCAGGTATCCCGCGGTATCTGCTAAACATGCGGCCAGCCAGGTCACTCGCATCTGCGGACCTTTCAAACTACCGGGGGCCGTGGAAGTAAAGGGATACCAAGGAGTGTTTGACCCGACTGACTTTAAGAGGCAACCGTCAAGTAGTAAGAGACTCTCTCATAGCGGCTTTTCCAAACTAAAGCTGTATCCTTACATGTCCCTCCGGAGTCAGCAACGCGACGACAGGACGACACAATCGGAGCAACTGCAGTCCCTTTCCACCAAACCTAAGCCCCCACACCGTGTGTTTTTACACAGATGTCGGGTAATCGTTGT